CCGGTTTACGAATAAGAGTATGAGATCATGGCATTTCATTTTATTTAGCTCGACTTTGCGTTTAAAATGCTTAATCCAATAATTGAATTAAGTAGATGTTCTCGTCTACTTAATTTTTGTAAGTGCTTAATTGTTATTTAATTGCTTAATTATTTTCTTAAATGTTTAATTTATAATGGATTATCTATTCTTATTTTTTGTTTAGTTGCTTGTTTGCTCGTGTATTTGATTTTCTAAGTTAAGCTATGTCGGCCCCTTTTTATTTTGAAGCCTATTTTCATTTTAAGCCTAAGTTCTAAAGTTATACTTTTTTTTTCCTAAGGATATTGCATGTCTCGGCAACACTTAGTCTTTTAAGTGTTGAAATTCAATAGCCAAGCCATATATAAGTCCTTAGCTTCTCAACTCCAGCCCCTAAATTTCGGACGTCCATCACCCTGCTATCTATGCACCTGATCAGGTCATCAAACATGGGAAGAAAATTTTGAATTGTTCTTCAACCACCTCCAAGAGATTAGGACCTGATCCCTCCCAAACTCCCACGCACACGCCAACGTTCAGCTCTTCCTCCTTCACCCTAATTCCACCTATATAAACCCTCAAGCACCATCAGCCATCATTTGGCGTTCTTCGAGAATATCACAGAAAAACAAATAAAAAAAAGGGTAAATTGCGCCAAACCCCCCTGTATTATACGAAATCTGCGCCTTATTCCCCTGTATTTTAAAAAATGCGCCATACCCCCTTGTATTATAATTTTGATTGCGCACGCTCCTCCTCGTTTTCGTGTTAACCCCGTTAATTTTTTGCTTAACTTCCCGTTATGCCCTCAGAAACAATTGTCTTGTTTGGTTTAAAGTTGCCAATAATATCTTTTAAATAAAAATTACATTTATATCCTTCAATTAAAATTATTTTTTTCATAAATTAACATTAAGAATTGAGATCTGGAAATAGAGATGGCCTTCTCCATCTCTATGGCAAATTACGCCATCTCTGGAAATTAACATTAGAAATTAACCCCGTTCCGGTGGCCGATCTCACCGGAACTACCAGAGCCACCGAAAGTACGCCATCGATTACCACTAATTTTTTGCCACGAAGCTAATTGCGCCGTTGAGATCGATCCCCGAGGTGCCGTTGATTGACTGCTGAAGGGCCTCATCATAGGAGAGATTTTTAGAGATCCGCGAGAATAGAGATTGCTGAAGGGCCATCGAAGCTTTTAGAGAGGGACAAAGACTGATTCTTGGGCTATGATGGGTTCTTCTCGAGCTCTGTTCTTCTTGCGGGTCGGGGTCAGAGGGGACTGGGGGATGAGGTGCCAACGACGAGAGACGGTGGTGGTGGCCGACGTGGTGGTGGTCGCCGCCATGGTGGGAGAGATTGATGACGTTGGTCTGGCGGAAGAAAAAAAGGAACAGAGAAGAATGAAGAGGAAGATGGGCAGAAGAGGAAATAAAAAATGATACACTATCTCAACAATTTGGTAGGATATGGTAATAACATTTTGAAGGATGTTGGTACGGGCTTGGCTCAATTTTCAGGGGCGAGAATATGCCGGGCTGGGGCGGCGATGGCTTGTCGGAGGTCGAACACGACGGCTACCTGCGATGGGCGACCAAGCTGCGTGAAATAGGGTTTTGAATTTGATGTTGCAGAACCTTGATTTGAAAATTTGATTAAAGTGAGGGGCTGCTTTGCAATTTTCAGAAGTTTAAATTAATTGCAATTTGATTCAGGTATTAAGGGGCAAAATAGTCATTTTCCTGAGTTTATGGCGAAAAAATGGAGAAAAAGTTGCACCACACGCGCGTGAAATGCACATCTGTCAAATTAGACGGTTTAGGGGATAACGCGCAATCAAAAGTATAATACAAGGGGGTATGGCGCATTTTTTAAAATACAGGGGGATAAGGCACAGATTTCGTATAATACAGGGGGGTTTGACGCAATTTACCCAGAAAAAATCCCAACCCTAAGCCATCCCTCAGCCATAGCAAAGTGCAACAGCCGCACAGACATACCGTCGGAAGCCGTCTTCACGCGAAGCCGGTGACCTGAGTAGAAAAGAATCGAGAGATGTGAATTTCGAGCCACTTCCTAACATTTTCAGAGGGCCTTAAGTCAAGCCAAACCAAACCTGAAGCTGAGAGGCCGTAACCATCAACCGAAGCCGAGACCTAGCCCGTTCGAGCCTTATTTTGTCCTGTACCTTTAAGTCCATTTTTTTAAGGTAATAAAAGCTGAACCTTTTAGCCTTAAAAGTGGTCGAGTTTATGTGTTTTATATTGTTGTAGTTTCAGTTTTGATAGAAAGTATAATGGCATGCTAGGGACTTGCTAGAATTGATTAAGATATGAGTTGATTATTGTGAGGCTTCGACCTTGTTGTTACTACCTTGTTGCTGAGACGTTTAGGATGATTTATAGGCTGAAATTGCTTGATTTTCATAGCATTTATTTCAGTTTATAAGGCCCTTTTTTGTGTTGCTTAAATTCAAGAAAAATGGGAGGGAAAAGAAATGCATGATGTATGTTGTTTGATCATTTATGTTGTGAGGTTACTGAAGCCTTTTCATATAATTAATATGCTGAGAATCTCATGAAGTTTCTGAGCATGATTTAAGTTCTTAATTCATTAAAATTTGTGGCCTTGAGTATGTGTAATTATTGTTCAGAAATAGAAGGAAAAAGAAAATGAAAGGATGCATGTTGTGATGTATTCTGACCTCATTTTTTTTTTACTTTGACTTGGTTGTGCCTTTCTTGCGTATTAGATACAACTATATGTGATATATATTCGCAGGTTTAGGTTCATCCTTTTGAGGATTTCATTTTCTGTTGAGTGCTGCCACATTTTTCTTAGGTTGTATATTTAAACCCATATAATATTGGCTACTTGTTTTATTTGGTTAGAAGGGTACATTTGAGATGCTGAAGGAAATAATTCACTTATCAATCATGATAAGTGGCTGCCAATATGCATTTTGAGTTTAGGTTATTAATTGAAATATTGCACCTAGCATTTGTGAGTTAAATTTGATGTTATCTAAGTTTAGTTTTATTCACAAAAAAATGTGGTTTAAGAAAAGAAAAGAAGTTATAAAGTTTATATGATATTTGTTTTGCTTATATTTTGACTGAATTATATGCTCTTATCTGATGTTCGTGTTTTTCGTGATTTAATTATTTACTTTGCATTTTAATCAAAATCCTAATAATAAGACTTAATAATCAAAATCCAGATTAAGAGGAGTCGAGCCCTCATTTAGAAGCACGTGCATTTTCATCGAGTAAGTAAGTTCAAAAGGTGGGGATTTTTCATGCTATGTTCTAATTCTTAATAAACGCAAGGTATTTATAGCTGAGGTATGTCTATGCGTATTTGCCTATGAGTGGGCATTGCCCGCGAGTGGGTTCGAGGACAGGATCTCCCACCGTGTGGGTCAGCGTTCCCGGTGGTGAGGTGTACACCCGAGATCGGTTTGCCGTGTCGTGTGGGTTAGCGTTCTCGGCCGGTAAACCAACAGATAAGCTATGTTATGAGACCATGATTTACTTATTTATATGCCAATGTTATCGGTACCTGTTTTTATCATGAATAATTGCATAGTATGGATTATTAATGAGCACGTTGATTATTGCTCAGCCCCCACAATTATCATTTTCAGGTTAGCATGCCGGGCGGGACTCAAGAGGGGCAAGAGGTGGTCATATGCAGTTTACTTATTGCTTCCGCCATTGAACATCTTATTTTGCGAACATGACATTATCAGCTATGTTGACATTGTTGGATTCCAGTTTCAGTTTTTCAATTCATTTATCGGACTAATATCGATCGCTCTGCTTGGTCTTAATGAATTGAACATGTTTATGTCGGGATCAGATATCCTGAAATGATTAAAAGCAGTCATGACAGTAAAGCTAGTTATATGTTTAGTAAGTACCCTCAAAGCATGTTTTAAAAGTTAAATTATTTTCGAAAAGTTCGATTCATTTTCAAAAACTCTGATGATTTTAATGTATAAGTAGAGGGTGCTTACAACCTGGAAATTAATTAGCTTGAAAAATGAGGTGGAAAATATTAATCATGACACGTAGTCAAATTATCCTGACCGTCTGATTATTGGATTAAATATGATGAATTTTTCAATTTATTGTGTTAAGTTTGATGTCTGCCAAAATGTTGGATTTTTCGTGGAAAATGACCAATATAATAGACCAAAAATGAAATTTTGCCGGCCGGCTCCCCACATTGTTTATGTTGCTTTCAAAGATTGGGCTGAATCTGAGGAGGTTCACCGGCTTGCCGGCTTGGAGAGAAGGAAGCAAGATTGAAGATGGTCTAGAATCTTTGATCACTGGAAGTCTTCTTATTGTAATCTTTTTCCTTTTTTTTTTTCCTCTTTCTTTTGGTTGGTTATGGGGGTCTGAGTCTCATCAGTTATAGTTCAATCTATTTTAGATACTTCAGGTTTGTTTTTCCTTTGTTCTAGGCCACTTGCTTGTGGTTCTCTCTTGTTTCGGCTTATTCGGACTCGGTCCGATTTGTATTCAAATTCTGGTTTGATTTGATGCGAGTATTTCTATCATTCCGACAAAAGAAAGAAAGAAAAGAACTTCTCTACAACGGGCAAGAGAGGAAGAAAGCTCCTACACGAAAAGATCCAAACTCCCAACAAGAGAAAAACTCTCACAACTCAAGTCAATACAGCGCAGCAGCAGCACATCCGCCGCAAACCAAATTGAATTGAATGTCGACCATGTAACAAGAGTTCCGGCCAATACGAGGACAACGCATTATTCTCGCCGACTTATATATACTGTAAGATTGTCCGAAAACCCGAAACAAAAATACACACGAGACGAGACGACAATCCAAAAACCTTTTTCCCATATATATTTTCTTTCTTCATCTTCGGTTCGTCTTTCTCTTCTCTTTCTTCACACTTTCTCCCTCTCTCTGTTAATAATAATTAATTAATAGTACTAAGTATTATGTCCCCGGAAATAGAAGGCCGTCAGCTGAGCCTCCCCAAACCCCTCCACACCGCGTCCCCCCGCACCGACTCCCTACTATACGACGCCGTTTCCCGCTCCCTCGCTCTCCGCCACCCCGACTCCTCCTTCTCTCTCTACCCTTCCATCTCCCCCCTCTCCTTCCCTTCCCCGCACGTCCTCGTCCCCTCCCCAACCTCCTCCGCCGTCTTCCTCCACCTCCGCAGCTCCTCCGATCCCGCCGTCGCGCTCTTCCTCGCCTCCTCCCCCGTCCCCTCCGCCGTCCTCCTCCGCTTCTACATCCTCCGCGCCGGACGTTTCGCCAGAATCAGGGTCGTCTCGAGCCACAGGGATCTCGAGTTCGATCCCGCCAGGTGGGGGGCTGTGTTTAGAGCCAGCCATGGGGTCTCCGTTAAATTGTCTGGGGGAGCCAACGTTTTCTCCATGTACTCGGTCTCGAGTTCCAAGATTTGGGTGTTTGCCGTGAGATTGATTGGGGATGAAGGCGGCGGGGAAGCTTTAAAGCTCATTAAGTGTGCGGTGGTTGATTGTTGTTTTCCGGTGTGTACAGTTAGGGTTTTATTTGGGTTTTTAGTGCTTGGAGAGGATAATGGGGTTAGAGTTTTCCCCCTGAGGCCGCTGATCAAAGGAAATCAAAGAAAGGAGAAGATGAACGGTGGTAAAAGGACTAGCTTGAAAAATGGCTCGAATAATGGGGTTGATGTTGCAAAGTCTAGCGATGGAGGTAAAGCTATGGGGCCATCTGGAGATAAGCATTCTGAATCTGGTGAGCTTGTTATCAGTTCCTTAATGTCTTTTACACTTTATGGATTAGAAATTGGAATTGTTCGACCTTTAATCATAACAGCTGATTCGAGCATATATGTTTTGGCGCTAGCAGTTTGACACGTCTTAGGTTGTTGAATACGTCAAATGCCTAGCATTTAATTATTGATTGGTCCGCATGTTTAAATATTCATGGAAAATAATGTTTTACATGCACCCTAACACCTGCCATTCATACGACTTGACTGACCTATTGCACCTTAAATCATGCACGGACATTTAATCGGCTATTTGCTTTTGTGCAAGATTTAGTTTGTAGTTGATGCATCTGAAATGCCTACTTTTTTTCCGTCTGCCACAGCTGCTGATTGTGCATTGTGACTTGCAGTGAAGTCGAGGTCTGTAAAACTAAGACAAGATTCCAAAGACGTGGGTTCATTTTTTGTGGCTTTTGAGGATAAGGCTGTAGGAGATTCCATATCAATGGAGAAAGCGAGGAGATCTATCAAGGCTATCTCAGTCCAGGCATTATCCATGGATCACTTTGTGGTCTTAGATAGTATTGGAGATGTTCACCTTTTATCCCTTTCTTTTCGCATCCAAGGAGTGGATGAACCTCGCTTCATGAAAAGGTTGAATCACACAATGAAAGTTCAAAAGCTGGCTGTTTTTGAAGATGAGTCCTCAGGTACAACTTAGAGGTTTCTCATGAAATTTTAAATAACAGGATATTGCGTAAACCATGCCAAAATTATCTTTGATGAAGTTTCTATAATTAAAAATGGCAATTTTATTCTCATTAACTCAATATCTATCCATTAAATTGCAGTGACACGAAATATCTGGATCTCAGATGGATGTCATAGTGTGCACCTGATGACAGTCTCTGATACTCATACTTCCTTTGATGATTCTGAAAATAAAGATACCAAGGAGATCCTCCGAACTTCAGGGCCAACCATTCTTCATACATTTCAAGGTTCTTTATTTCATGCTAACTTGTTGTACTCATTGGAATTCTTGAGCTTGATTTTACACATGTGTTTCTTGAGTTTTTAATATTTTTGTTTACATGAGTATTCTTATGTTATTTGTTAAAGTTGAAAATAAAATGTTTGTTTTAACTTGCTAAAACTATGTTTTTGGCGATTATTTTTCTTGCAGTTACACAAGCAATTTTTACCAGTGAAAAAATCCAAGAGATTGTTCCCTTGGCTGCTAATGCTGTTCTAATTCTTGGACAAGGTATTTCGATCCAGTTCAAGTTCTTCCATTCTTTCCTACAATGGACAGGTTGCACTTGCCATTTTGGGATACTGTTGTGTTTTTAAAATAAATGCAGGAAGGCCTCTTTCTTCATATTGTGTTGGATTTTATGAACATTAAAAGGCGTCTTTCTTCATCAATGGCAATGTTGATTGATTGCATGACTGCTACTTCTGTCTGTGGTTTTCCTCCCACTTTTTCCTCTTTACTTGGTAGATATGATATCGTTCATTTGGGTGGCTATTGAGTCTTTTACACTAGTAATTTGGGTTGAAAGTGTTTATTAATGGATTGTTTCATCGGGATATGGACATTCCAATTTATTTGTCCTGATATAATTTTTGTCTACTTTTGATTATCATATGCTTAACAGTTCATACTTTCTCGATTTTTTTTGCAAACTAATGAATTCCTCTATGTTTTGTTGTTCTTTATATTCCAGACTTGACTGGTCACATTTGGTTTATATATATTTTTTCTTCCATCTCTCTTGTTTGTCTTCCTCGAGAAAATTAAATTATGGTCATTTCTGGAGAAAATGCTAGTTTTATTGCTAACAGAGACATGCCTTCGTTCAAATTTTCACTTTGAATTAGTCATCTTCCGCTTTACTTATCCATTCCCTTTTATTTTTCCTTGATTTCACAACAAAGATGTTATGTGTTTCTTTTTTGACAAATATCCTACTTTTTGTTTGCAGGAAGTATGTTTGTTTATGCAATTTCATAGACCTGCTTGATGTTCTTTTTTGAAATTGGTAAGTTTTTCTTTGCATGGTGAAGCTCTTCTGGTTACATTCGGGAATATACCTTTCATTTGAAGCAATAGTAAGATGCCTCCATCGTTGTAGTAGGTGCAGTTGCAATAGATTATATGAGTCTTATTCTTTCTGATAAACATAATAGTTTGGCTATGCAGTAACTGAGAACTTTTTTTTCTTCACAGGCCATATTTTGATCTGGAGGAGAAACATTCATAGTCAAGTAAATTGGTTCGTGAACAGAATTCTTGATCGAAATGTGTAAGTCTTCTTTTCGTCATCCATATATATATATTGTTCATCTTACTTCCATGGCCTGATGGCATCTCAAGCCTTACTCTCACTGCACTCATTGTCACGACAAAACCAAAATACCCTAATAAATTTGAACATTTTGACGAGGTTAGATTATTTCAATTTATGAATCATTTTCAACATGTACGAAACATCCATGGTGTAGAATGTAAACCATGTCCGGGTCGTGTCTTCACGTTTTACATTTTGATGTATATATTTGTACGTCATTGAGGTTTCAATTGAATGTTTCAGGCATCTGTACATTCTATTGTCTGATCAGCGGGGTACCAAAGGGTTTTGCGAGTAAGTGACTTTCGGCTAAACTTTACATAAACTTTCATATTTTCTGTTCAAGTGCTATGCATTAAGAGTCATGCATTTATTTCAATAACCTAAGTCAACTTTTGAGTTTATATTAAAATAATATTTAAAATAAAATAATTAAAGTTGATTTGAGTTTTGAGTTCATATTTTCTGCTTTTAATTATTTGTTTTCCTCTCTCGTGCATGAAGATCCAATCTGATATATGCTGTCGGTGGAAATCTGAATCTTGAGTCCTTGCAAATACCAGAGAAGCAATCGTTCAACAAAGCAATATCTGCCTTGCAACTCTGAATCAGTGAAGCTTTTATATCGACTTTCAGTTCCGTGGACCCCAAGGTCACCTGGTCTATATGCTCTCGGAAAGAGATTGGGAAGGTTGGCTTTTGAATCCTGGGCACACAATACACATGAACGCAATCCGACTGTATTAGTATTTTCGAGCACTGTCGTTATCACTGCTTGATATCTTCATTCTCTTTCCTTCTTCTCTTCTTATTTTTATGTTTTTGTTTGGGGTTTTTGAGTAATGATCTCAAGAAAGATATGCCATGCCCCTACTGCCTACCACCAACTCAATCCTTATGTTTTTCTCAAGACATATTTTTCTTTTGTTTGGTGTATGGGATAACCCCAGATAATGTGGTGTTACTTGCAAAAAACATTACTGAGGTTTAGCAATAATTTAAGAAGGGAATATATATATATATATATATATCATTATATTTGATAGATATATTTGTACAATTTTATTCTTGAAAGTAATTTAAAAGTAAACTTTGAGGATGCATATTATTAACAAGTGGGACCAATCCTAAAGGCTGGCATATCATTGATCAGCACACAATGTTTTCATGAATGGGCAATCACATGTACTCAATATATTTGCAATTGTATGTATGTATGTAAGTATGTTTATATGCTGATGCTCCCACCACAATATTTCACTATCACAGCCCAACTTGAAAGTTACCTCACATTGATATCTTATTACAATATATCTCATTTCAGAAGATAGTCTTGTCTTGATTTGTTCAATTAATGATGATGTATGATAGAGTTTTTTTTTTTATTTTTTTATTTTTTTTTATTTTTAATAAAAACAAAAAGTGAGGCATCAAGTTGCATTTGAAAAGGTGAAGCACAATTTTAAACCTTGCCACAAAAAAA